CCGATATAAAATGCTATCAAGACACATTTCAAATGAAAGTACTTAAACTATGATCCCTGAAATGTAATTTAAAATGAGGTTTGCCTTTGCTGTAATATTTTTTATTGATATCAGCCTGCTATGTTGTCATGTAGCCTGCGCATGTGTCCGTGATAAGTTTCAAGCTAAACTGTGAAGGCAAGTTGGAAAGTGGAGCTAAAACTAATGTTTTAAAAACACTGCAATTATGACTTTAAATGGAAACTATTAGGAAGAGAAGTGTGGATGAGGATTAGAATATTTCAAGCAGCTCTGTGGAAACTGAAGCGGATGACACTGAACTGAGCACAGACATTAGTGGCTACTTGAGCAGTGTTAATGAAGTTTCCACAGCACCTGATGAGGGTCTGGCCCTTACGGTGTGGAAGAGTTTAAGTGCTAGTTCTTGTACCACCCCTTTGACCAGCTTGGCTGTGGTCGACAACAAGTGACAATAAATAATCTTCTGATGAGGAATAAACCTGCCTCCTGCCTGAAATGAATAGGGTAGGCCTTCTGTATTTTAACATTGATTATAGTGGTGGTATCTGGAGAGATTAATATTTTTTGAGGTGGTGTACAAGTTTGAGAAGCACTGGTCTAGATCTATGAAACAATTTCTATGGCACTACATCTGCAGTAAAGCGGTGCTGAAAAGATCATGAGTTATCTGTAGATCAATATATTTATTAATCAGAAATGTAATAACTGATGACCTTATTTGTCATGAAGTGACCAAAAATATTTTTTACCTATATTATCTTTGGATTGTTATTTGGACAAAAGAAGGTTTGAAGACGTCCACACTGGGCTCTGGGACCTCATGAGGGCATTTTCACTACTTTCTGACAACTGTGAATCAAACCACTAATCAAGTAATCAAACAAAATCAAGAGGATTACTGTAGGGCTGCAGCTAAAAGTTCCATTATTGAGTAAAGTGCAATGTTTAGTTAGTTTAGTTCTGTCAAGCTAAAATCAAATATGAAAGATTCACACAGACAGATTTTCATGAAAATTTCATGACACAGCAGCAGGAGCGAACGAACAAAACCACAATGAACACAAGAAACAAATATCAAAAACAAAAGTGCCGACATAAGAGTTACAATAAAAAGTATGCTATTATTATTATTATTTAGTATTATTATTATTATCATTATCATCATTATTATTATTATTATGTCCAATCAAACAATACTGTGGACTTTACAGCTGCAGAGAACCAAATCAGACTGAATACACTCATACTGAAGGTGAGTGATCTTCTTAGCTTGTTAACATGTTAAATTAATAAAGCTCATTTCCCCCTCTGCTGCTGTCTGCCTGCTACACTGTGTGAGGACAATCAAAGTAAACTGAAGGTACTGTATCTAAAGATCTCTCTGATTCTGAGGTCTACAGAGTTGCAGCAAAGTGACATCATCACCTGGGTTTTCTCCTGATCGGTCCTTTAAGATGGGCTCTGAAAGACAAAGAGGAACATTCATTTGTGGGTGAAATTATGAACTTGTCAAATGTTCTTAGTTTTGGAGTTTAAACAGTTACAATGAAGCAAAAGCACAAATTCTCACACACACACACACACACACACACACACACACACACATTCAGTGTGTGTGTGTGTGTGTGTGGCGAGAGAGGAGAGAGGGACAGTGTGTCTGCACTCAGGACAGGGAGGTGAGTTTGAGGTTATCAGTAAACCATGAATGTGACAATGTTCAGTGTGAGCTTCAGTTTGCTAAAAAAATAGCTTCACTGGTAGAGTTATAAAGTCATGTGTTTTGTGTCATGTGATTGGCTCTTCTGATCAGCCTTTAAACTGTTGAGAAGGAATATCTGTTATTTCACTGAAAGGTGAGAAGTTTGCACCACTGAGAGTTAGATGAGGAGAAGCAGAAGCAGAGTTTGGTTGGAAAAGATTGATACAAACCTCACGTCTGTGCAGTAAATATGAAGCTACAGCCTGCAGACGTTTAACATAATAACTTGAAGATGGACATTCAGTGAAGCGCCAACAAAGACAGGGAAGAGGAACACAAACTGGAAAACATGGATGTACAAAATGTTAGATGTAAATGTTTTATGAGGAAGGAAAAGCATTTGATTTGTTTTAATGAGGAACACTGGATGTGAACAGGACTTAAGTTTGTTGAGAATACTCACCTGGTCCAGGTAGCACACTAAAGCAGTTAAACAAGCAGCAGTCATTTTGTTAAGTCACATGACTTGAGATTGGAAGCAGAGTAGTGACCAGAGGCAGACAGCTTGTATGGAAAGAAAAGACCGTGCAGAGGAGGAAGAGGAGAAATAAGGTGTCAGGTAAATGTTCTGATACCAACAGCAGCACAGGCTGACAGGAGGTGGGGATTTATACTGTGGAGAATGTGCTGTGAGGAGTTCAGCTGCTCCAATAACTCCATGAGGAAATCTGCAGCTTTGCACATGCAAATTTCCAAAAGTGTTGTGAACAAGCACGATACATTTATGTTTAAAGGGCCAGTGTGTAAAATGGGTTGAAAACAGTGACATCAGTGGTCAAATTCTAGATTGCAGGGCTCACTCGCTCACCCCTCCCATCGGGTAAATGACGGTGGCCTCGTAGGGACAAAAAGCCTTGCTCACGAATTTTTCAGGAGTAGGTCTATCTAGCCACGAGGTGAATGTTTATTTAGAAATCTAAGCCATGTTACTATATTGTAATGAATCCCTCACAAGCAGGAGACCAGAGGAGCGTTCAGGAAAAAGGCCCGTTTATTTGAGCACTCCAGAAACTCCGGTAACCATACCGAGTGGGGACCCCCCTCCCCTCTCTGCTCAATCTCCAGCCCGCACACTGACTGACAGCGTAGCCGGTAACAGAGCTCAGCTGTTTATTTAGCCTAGCAATATCTCCGGACTATAGTAGCTGCAATGGACGACTTTGAACGCGATTTTGAAGAGTTTCTTGTAGCGGACACAGACCCAGAGCCATACCTGTTTGAGCCGGAGCATACAGATGAGGAACTCCATATGTTTGATGCTGAGCAGGCGAGAAGAGAGGCTGAACGCACAGAATGGGATTCGGTGCTACCATCATTGGGGAGATATATCACCAGGAGGAAAAGCGCCGCAGAGAGTGCATCACAAGGAGTGAAGTTGCGTCTTCTTTTCCTTGCAGATGACGGTTCGGGTTCATTCTCTCCTGTTGCGTGGTAAGTGTGGTCCATTCGCAAACTTTATAACTAAAAAAAACTTCCACTACTCTCTATCAACGAACTACTAACACACTCTGCTGTTTCTTCCTCCTTCTTCCTTCCTTCCTTCCGCTGTCTTCGTTGGTTTATTTATACACGCGAAACGCGTTCTCTTGCTTGCTGGATTGTCCGCTCGGGCTGCCGTACATACATGGCAGCGCAAGATAGCGACCTCTCTAAAGCAAGGCCCTTGCTATCTATCTATCTATCTATCTA